GGGCAACGGCTCTTACTGCCTAACGTTGCTTTCTGAACCTACAAGAAAACTAGCTGTCTTCCAGCGGCCAAGGCCCAGAACACGGCGCCTTCGCCAGAGCGAAGCAGCAGGGCCCTGAAGGACGGACCGGGCCTGCGGGCAACGGCTCTTACTGCCTAACGTTGCTTTCTGAACCTACAAGAAAACTAGCTATCTTCCAGCGGCCAAGGCCCAGAAAACGGCGCCTTCACCACGGCCCTGAAGGACGGACCGGGCCTGCCGGCAACGGCTCTTACTGCCTAACGTTGCTTTCTGAACCTACAAGAAAACTAGCGGTCTTCCAGCGGCCAAGGCCCAGAAAACGGCGCCTTCGCCACAGCGAAACAGCGGGGCCCTGAAGGACGGACCGGGCCTGCGGGCAACGGCTCTTACTGCCTAACGTTGCTTTCTGAACCTACAAGAAAACTAGCTGTCTTCCAGCGGCCACAGCGAAACAGCGGGGCCCTGAAGGACGGACCGGGCCTGCGGGCAACGGCTCTTACTGCCTAACGTTGCTTTCTGAACCTACAAGAAAACGAGCGGTCTTCCAGCGGCCAAGGCCCAGAAAACGGCGTCTTCGCCACAGCGAAGCAGCGGGGGCCTGAAGGACGGACCGGGCCTGCGGGCAACGGCTCTTACTGCCTAACGTTGCTTTCTGAACCTACAAGAAAACTAGCTGTCTTCCAGCGGCCAAGGCCCAGAAAACGGCGCCTTCGCCACAGCGAAACAGCGGGGCCCTGAAGGACGGACCGGGCCTGCGGGCAACGGCTCTTACTGCCTAACGTTGCTTTCTGAACCTACAAGAAAACTAGCTGTCTTCCAGCGGCCAAGGCCCAGAAAACGGCGCCTTCGCCACAGCGAAACAGCAGGGCCCTGAAGGACGGACCGGGCCTGCGGGCAACGGCTCTTACTGCCTAACGTTGCTTTCTGAACCTACAAGAAAACTAGCTGTCTTCCAGCGGCCAAGGCCCAGAAAACGGCGCCTTCACCACAGCGAAACAGCAGGGCCCTGAAGGACGGCCCAGAAAACGGCGCCTTCACCACAGCGAAACAGCAGGGCCCTGAAGGACGGACCGGGTCGGCCAAGGCCCAGAAAACGGCGCCTTCGCCACAGCGAAACAGCGGGGCCCTGAAGGACGGACCGGGCCTGCGGGCAACGGCTCTTACTGCCTAACGTTGCTTTCTGAACCTACAAGAAAACTAGCTATCTTCCAGCGGTCAAGGCCCAGAAAACGGCGCCTTCACCACGGCCCTGAAGGACGGACCGGGTCTGCGGGCAACGGCTCTTACTGCCTAACGTTGCTTTCTGAACCTACAAGAAAACTAGCTGTCTTCCAGCGGCCAAGGCCCAGAAAACGGCGCCTTCGCCACAGAGAAACAGCAGGGCCCTGAAGGACGGACCGGGCCTGCGGGCAACGGCTCTTACTGCCTAACGTTGCTTTCTGAACCTACAAGAAAACTAGCTATCTTCCAGCGGCCAAGGCCCAGAAAACGGCGCCTTCACCACAGCGAAACAGCAGGGCCCTGAAGGACGGACCGGGCCTGCGGCTCCCACTGCCTAACGTTGCTTTCTGAACCTGAAAGAAAACTAGCTCTCTTCCAGCCGTCAAGGCTCACAAACGGCGCCTTCGCCACAGCAAAACAGCAGGGCCCTGAAGGACGGACCGAGCCTCCGGGCAACGGCTCCCACTGCCCAACGTTGTTTTCTGAACCTACAAGAAAACTAGCTCTCTTCCAGCCGTCAAGGCTCACAAACGGCGCCCTCGCCATAGCAAAACAGCAGGGCCCTGAAGGACGGACCGAGCCTCCGGGCAACGGCTCCCAAACTAGCTCTCTTCCAGCCGTCAAGGTTCACAAACGGCGCCCTCGCCACAGCAAAACGGCAGGGCCCTGAAGGACGGACCGAGCCTCCGGGCAACGGCTCCCACTGCCTAACGTTGCTTTCTGAACCTACAAGAAAACAAGCTCTCTTCCAGCCGTCAAACCTTCAAAAACGCGCGGCGCCTTCGCCAGTCTCAAAAAGGACGGTCCTGAAGGACGGGCCGGGCTTGCGGGCGACAGCCCCTAGTCAGTCCTCCTCTAACGCGCTCCCCCTGCTGTCGGCAGGGGTCGGCGGATATATATATATATATATATATATATATGTGCATGCATATATTATAAGTATATAATATATATATATATAATAAGTGTATATATATAATAGGTGTATATAAAACTATATATGTAATAGGTGTATGTGTATATATATATATATGCGGGGATGAAGATTTCTCTTTTGAGTATGATGACGGTATTCAGATTGTTCAGGTTAGCTAGGTGGGTGAAGATTGCAATCATATTCTCAAGCAAGCTCTGAAAATAGTGTCGCCCCCTATATCCAATGGTGTATGGCCGGAAAAACATTGCTAAAGTGCACAAATCTATCGGATGTTCTCTCAGTTCGCCTAGTCTGATTCTTCCCATATGCCGTTAAGTCCTATGTTCTGACACTTACTGGTTGGTGCTTTTGGACATTTGTTTTTTTTCAGTTGGGAATGTCATCATCCCAACTGACGAAGTCCATCATTTTTCAGAGGGGTCAGCAGCAACCACCAACCAGGTTAACTTGGTCCACAGATTTGCCAAAAAGTACCATCCATCTATGTTGCGACAGGTCGTTCTCCCTGGAATGGTGGTGAATGGGGGAATCATCCCTATACCTTATTAAGGTAATGTCAACCCTGGATTCATAAACCCCAAACGGTTGTTTAATTGGGGGGATACCATAAAAAAGTATCAGATTATGACTATTTGGGGAGTACCCCCCCTAATTAATAAACCCATGGTTTATTAATCCAGGGTTGACATTAAGTGAAATATGATCATTTCCCCAAATTTCAAGAAACTTTGTTGGGTTTTTACAGGCTTTGATGATGATTTCATGAGACTTAATGGTGACTCAATGATACAGGATGGGGCCCTCCAGTTATGTTTGTTGGTTTATAAACCATGAAATAACCCCCATGACTTAGTTCGTTATATCTACCATAAACCATAGAATTCAGCCACAACTTTCTAAGGCAACGGTTCACGCGTTTTCGTTCACGGGGCCCCCATCCTGTATGACTCGTGGCGATTTCATGGCGATCGGGAAAAATCTCAGGTCGGGCCCACTACCGGCCTGCTCTGTGGATCTGCGCGCATCTCTCCCCGCCGCTTGGCGAAGTGACGACTTGACCAAGGAAAATGGTTGGCTGAATGAGTTGGAAAGGCTGATTTAATATAATTTAATCCCGGGTTTGTTGAATCGGTGATTTGGCTTATTTTCCCAATGGAAAATCCACCATGACTCGGGAATCGATTAAGTGAATATGTTTTATTTTTTGGGCACCCCGAAGCAGCAAATCAAAGTAATGGAACGATAATGGAACTGGATTTGACTATGACATGGGCAGTTTTTCTCTAGCTATGATAGTTATTTATTAATGGAACTGAATGGTTGGATATATATCAAGATCATACCATCAAAATCATGGCACAGAATGATCTATTTTTTTTTCGCAACAGAATTTGGAATTCGATCAGTTCAACCCGGCAGTGCCCATTGGGCATACGGAATCATACGGATACATTAGTACCTTCGACCACAAAAAAAAAGTCGGCTGTTTTGATGTCATGTAAGCGGGGAAAGGACCCCCCAACTCTGATGGTTCTATAGGGTTTACAATCAGGTTCCAAATCATTGGTATTGCGACGTATTGCGACTGTGGGAATGGCGTGATGCACCTCACAACTCATGTTCAGTCCGCTATCCTTTGGTGTTTCTTGACTCACGTGGAGCACCTCTATATGTACAGGTACGTGCATTTGCTTGGCACATGCAAATGATACATACGTACAACAACCACAAAATAGATAGACACATTGGAAACCTGGAAATATGATCGACATATTACTGGTTGGTGGTTTGGAACATGTTTTATGACTTTCAATATATTGGGAAGAATCATCCCAACTGACTTTCATATTTTTCAGAGGGGTAGGTCAACCACCAACCAGACTATGTACATACCATCCTAGAAAATCCTAGAAAGACGTTCTTTCTTTTTGTGGATTGCTATACTAAGCATAGATCTGCCTCGACCAAGGCATGTATGCAATACAATCCAGACTGGTGCTGGGCAACTGTGCCTCGGCAGAGCGGACTCGCAGATCTGCGGAATGGCAGAGCGGTATAGAGCGGTTTCGAGAGTTTTTTGAACCACTATTAACCATTATTAACCATTAATAGTGGTTAATAATGGTTAATAGTAAACCACTGAAATAATGTTAATTACTATCAATTATGATTAACCATTCTTAACCACTATTAACCATTAATAGTAATGAAAGTTTCAGTCAGTGCCATCAACTCTTTGTAGCTATCAGCTAATCCGACCACTTTTTGAAGCACCAAAACGCGGAACCGTTTTGGTGTCGCCGATCCTGAAAATCGACAGTCAAAACGCGGCCATGATTTCGAAATTGTGACTCCACAACTGGTTGGTGGTTTGGAACATGTTTATCTTTCCATATATTGGGAATAATCATAACAACTGACGAACTCAGCATTAATCTTTAGATGATCAATTTCCATCATTTTAAGTTACTGGTTGGTGGTTTGGAACATGAATTTGATGTTCCCCAATAGTTGGGATGATGATCCAATCTGACGAAGTCCATCATTTTTCAGAGGGGTGGGTTTCAAACCACCAACCAGTACCGGGGCAAAGCATAGTTCGCCTTACCCGATCCCTTGCCATTTGGGGTGTTGTGATGGGGAAACCAGCCAAGAACGCCCAAGAACGACCGAGCCAAGGGTTGCCAGGGAGCCCAGATGTGGGGGATATAGATAGATAGATAGATAGATTAGATTAGATTAGATTAGATTAGATTAGATTAGATAGATATAGTATATGGTGTATGGTGTATAGATCTACATATTTGACCATTTCCAACCCCATCTTTTTAAAGTGCAGCAGGTCACGGCACAACTGGCTGGCTACTTCGACCCAACTCACAACCCCGAATCTGGTGATGCTTGGCCGCAAGGTGGAAGGGTTGGTTCATGGGTTGATTTTTTTAACACTTGAACGCCATGTTATCATTAAGATATGTAATATGTACATATATATATGTATATATATATATATGTATATATTATGTTATATATATACGCGCAACGCCTGGGTTCTGCCCAGGCGTTGCAGCGTATATATCTACAATTCACAAACAAATGATATTGCAAATTACAGTAATTCCTATGGGAAAAGTAACAAAGGTATTAGGGACTATTAAACAAACAAGGTCAAAACACCCGAAATTCCTATGGGAAAAACAAAAACAGCATAATATTTGAAATTTCTATGAGAAAAACAGAAAAGGTACTAGGAAATTTTAAACTCTCAAATCGTGAAACTTAACATTCAATTAGGAAGATCAACAAAGATATTAGGGAATGTTAAGCTCCCACCCCCATTAAACCTTAAATTCCTATGGAAAAACAGCAAAGGTACTAGGGACTATTTAAAAAAAGGGTCAAAACACCCGAAATTCCTATGGGAAAAACAAAAACGGTATTAGGGAATATTAAACTCCAACCCCCGTTAAACTTTACATTCAATTGGGAAGATCAACAAAGATATTAGGGAATATTAAAACTCCCACCGCCGTTGAACTTCTACATTCATTGAAGATCTTCAATAAGGGTTTAATTCTCCCACCCCCGTGAAACTTCTACATTCATTGAAGATCTTCAATAAGGGTTTAATTCTCCCACCCCCGTTAAACTTCGACATTCATTGAAGATCTTCAATAAGGGTTTAATTCTCCCACCCCCGTGAAACTTCTACATTCATTGAAGATCTTCAATAAGGGTTTAATTCTCCCACCCCCGTTAAACTTCTACAGTCATTGAAGATCTTCAATAAGGGTTTAATTCTCCCACCCCCATGAAACTTCTACATTCATTGAAGATCTTCAATAAGGGTTTAATTCTCCCACCCCCGTTAAACTTCTACATTCACTGAAGATCTTCAATAAGGGTTTAATTCTCCCACCCCCGTGAAACTTCTACATTCACTGAAGATCTTCAATAAGGGTTTAATTCTCCCACCCCCGTGAAACTTCTACATTCATTGAAGATCTTCAATAAGGGTTTAATTCTCCCACCCCCGTGAAACTTCTACATTCATTGAAGATCTTCAATAAGGGTTTAATTCTCCCAACCCCGTTAAACTTCTACATTCATTGAAGATCTTCAATAAGGGTTTAATTCTCCCACCCCCGTTAAACTTCTACATTCATTGAAGATCTTCAATAAGGGTTTAATTCTCCCACCCCCGTTAAACTTCTACATTCATTGAAGATCTTCAATAAGGGTTTAATTCTCCCACCCCCGTTAAACTTCTACATTCATTGAAGATCTTCAATAAGGGTTTAATTCTCCCACCCCCGTTAAACTTCTACATTCATTGAAGATCTTCAATAGGGTTTAATTCTCCCACCCCCGTTAAACTTCTACATTCATTGAAGATCTTCAATAAGGGTTTAATTCTCCCACCCCCGTTAAACTTCTACATTCATTGAAGATCTTCAATAAGGGTTTAATTCTCCCACCCCCGTTAAACTTCTACATTCACTGAAGATCTTCAATAAGGGTTTAATTCTCCCACCCCCGTTAAACTTCTACATTCATTGAAGATCTTCAATAAGGGTTTAATTCTCCCACCCCCGTTAAACTTCTACATTCATTGAAGATCTCCAATAAGGGTTTAATTCTCCCACCCCCGTTAAACTTCTACATGCATTGAAGATCTCCAATAAGGGTTTGATTGATGATGATGATGATGATGATGGTGATGATGATGATGATGATGCGTCGCCCGTCGTCGTTGCGGGTCCGGGCAGAACCCAGGCATTTGCCGTATATATACGTATAGGTTTTGTAGCCATATTAGTCAATTGAAAGGCCATTTTGATAGCAATTCGTGATGTTTTTTTTCTCGATTTATAGCCATCTTATAGCCATTTGGAATTGTTTGTATGTTCATGCTGATTCTTAGAATGTGTCATTTGAAATAGAATTGGTTTGTTGTTGTGATTCTGAATATGCAATTACAGCTTAGTATGACATACAGGTGGGTTTTTTGGTGTGGGGCCACGGAGGGATAGAGTACACCTGGGAGTTGGAAGAGGCAGTGAAACTCGAAACATGGTCACTTTCCAAGTTGAGATAATTTCGAAAGCTCGTTTTTTGGATGTGGGGGTCCCAAGTGAAGCTGGGTTCTGGAGCGTTATCTGTTATCTAGTTTATTTCGTTCATGAACCAATGTTTACCATCTTTGAATAACAATGAATACATTCTATACGTCGATTCAAAAATAAACCTGTTTTGTACCCTCTGGTAAACTAACATAACTATGGAAAATCACCATTTTTAATGGGTAAATCCACTATAAATCACCATTTTCAATAGCTATGTTAAATTACCAGAGGGTAACACATCCCAAGAAATCGAGACGCATCCCTTCTCCCCTTCGTTTCGCCGGTGCCTCCAAGGACTATGAGAATCTGGGCACCGGCTCCGTGAATCGCGAGATGCAACGCGCTGAAAGTTGCCTCGGCGAGGCACGCACTTGGGATGGCTGGAGTCTTTTAAAATCCAGCGGAAATGTTACTTGGCGGCTCGGGCCCTATATATAATCATAATATATATATATACATATATATATATATAGATCATATCACCAGTAAAACTATATATATATACTGGTTGGTGGTTTGGAACATGTTTTATTTGTCCATATATTGGGATTAAGTGGGAATCATTATTTTTCATAGGGGTTGAAACCACCAATCAGTATATATACATGGGACTGATATATCATATTAGCATCAATTAAAATGTTCTGTTACTGGCATCATATTATCAATAATCATAATCGGTAATAGATAATCATCATAACCATACCTGGTGCCTCATCCCTTGAATTTGAATTAGGCCAGTTCACACTAGTCATGGATTACTAATAGGATACCAATGGGATATCATTGAGAAATATTGAGAAATATGGAGAAACTCTGACAATCAGGAGATATCACTGATCCATACTTGGTGGCTCATCCCACGGATCGTAAGTAGGTTTGTTCACCCTAATCATAAGTGGATTGGCCCTACTTGTCCCAAAAATCAGGAATATCACCTACTTAGGATTCGTTGGATGAGCTACCAAGTAGTAAAACAATTAAAACAGTTCAGCGATAATAAACCCAGCCATATTTTGGTGTTTTTGAACCCCTTCATAGTAAAATTGAGGATGGTTTACTATTGAAGTTATTGCTTTACCAAAATTATTCACTAATCATATTCCTATGTATTCCATTATAATTTTTAATCCATTATGTATCCCCAAATATCATCAAATATCACCGCTATATCCCCATCACATTCATGAACTTTACCCTCTGGTAAACTAAGATAGCTATGGAAAATCACTATTTTTAATGGGTAAATCCACTAGAAAAGGCTTTTTTCAATAGCTATGTTAGTTTACCAGAGGTTAGTTTCCCCCGAACTCTTCCAGGAATGTCGTGTCGCGGGTTCGCAATTCGCACCCAGCATCATGGATGCTCCTTGGATGCGAACCATGGGGAGAAATTCATGGGAAGTGGGAATACTTGGCGAAAAAGAATACAAAAATGTCCCACTATATCCCATGAATTCTGGGGATAAATTCAATAAATACTTGGGAATGTATAGTGGGAATAGTGGCTTTTGAATACATGGGATATAAATAGTGGGATAATTCATGGGATATTCTGGCGAAAAAAAATCCGTTCGACTGGTGTGTGTGGCTTTGTTCATCGTCAACAATCGGAGGCTGATCGTCCAGGGTTCAATTCACTGGGGTGAACCTAAGCCACACGATGCTTTTCACCAAGTATTCCAATGATATCCTATAAAATATCTCTACAAAATGGGGAGCATTCCCATGGATAGATATGTAGAAACCCTTTTTATAAGGCATTATATTAAAATTGTATCATCATAGATCATTGCCCTTGTTCTTTGTTGGTTATTTCAGTAACCCATAGAATCTCCATAAGAGTCACTGAGTATCCATAGATTCCCACAGATATGCCAGGACCGCTAAGAAGGCAATGAGTTGAGCATCCCCCCTTTGGGCGTTGTTCTTACCAAAAGACAGTTAGTTCAGTCATGTTTTGGGCTTAAGCATCAAAAGCACTGTGTTGTTGGTCGTCGGATGGGTGGTTTCTTGGGTGGGCGCCTAGAATTGGATGTTGGTCGAAGGTTAAAAATCGTTTCACGCATCAACAAATGATGGTTTAGTTATCGTTTAATCCCGTTTAATTATCCCGAAATGGGGATTCATATGGCCAACATTAGGAAAAAAAGACACAACAAATGGTCCTCCAAATGCAAAGATTCCAAACAAAAGTAGGGGCTGTGGCGGGGGTGCAGTCTATCCCAGAAATGACAAAGATCTTTTTCAAGGATCAGCTTAAAAGTCTTGTTCATTCCATAATTTTGCCCAACTAAGGACTGGGTCAATGGGTCAACCTTGGTTAGATACTTTAGTACTTGAAAATATACTCTAATCTTTTGCTAAGGTAAAATATGCATTCACCAGCTAGAGATCACATTTTTGGGGCTAAGATTCACCATGAAGATCCATGATTCTCATCGACTTCTCCGAGCCGTGGCCCAAGGCCTGTTGTTCAGAGGATGTGGAGCCCAAACGTAGCAGCTACCTCTGCGACACAGGTGCGGCGGCCTGCGGGAAAGATCGGTGACGCAAACGTTCCCCCGGGGTCAATGATGTTCAATGACCATTCTGAGGCAACCAAAATGGCAAAAAAAAAAAACCGAAATGGACTACCCACACCTACCCTCTGGTGTCATTCAACATGGCCATGGCAAATCCCCTAGAAATGGAGGTGTCAATATGAAAATCATCTAGGGATGTTCCATTGCTGTGCATGTTTGATTACCAGAGGGTATTGCCTCATTCTGTCAAGTCTAAATGGACCTCAGGGTTATCAACCGGCTTCAAACCTGGAAATCACCAAAGAAATGCCATGATTGCCATGCAAAATGGGTCCCTCAGGGCGGTCCCCATGAGTTTTTCCGATGGGTTTCTTCTTTTTGGCCGGCCATTCGTTGTTCGACGAGAGGAGCGGAGGTGCAGACCATCGAAAAAGCCATTGACTGGGTATCTTGGAGCTGAGCCGTGGCGGGCTGCTAATTCCCGATGATCCGATGGAGGTTTTAGTGCGAAAATCATCGAAATACATGGGGGGTTTTCCAACAAACCATGTTTGATTGTCAAAGAGTACTTTAAAAAAAACTGGAACAAAGAGCATATGACAACATGTCACATAGATATACCGTTTTTTCAAAACAAATCTCATGACTGAACGTGTATTGATTGCTGTAAATTGAATTGCTTTGTGCTGATGCGGGGAATGCAACATGAATCTGCTATTAGAACCTGCACTGGCCCCTAAGACGAGGGTGGCATGCTTTCATGATTTCTGTCCAAATTTGGTGATTCAAAATCAACTATGAAAAACCTTTGGCGATCTAAGTATTCGCCATGCGAACTTTTGATTTTTTTTAAAGCGATGAATCTCAGATGTTCATTAAAAGGAAGACCGTGTCTAAAGATGACGTAGCCGCGATGAAGCTGCCAGGACCTAGGAATCTGCCACCCGGAGACTTGAATTTTAAACCACCAGTTCCAATGATCCGAAAGAGTGAGAGATTGATCAGCATCAGGGGATCGTGCAGGTTTGATGTCAGTTTCAAGTTAGATGTCAGCATAGTGTACACGATTTTGATAAATGTTAGTCTACTATCTACTGGAATGTGTTTCTACAGTGTACAGATTGTTGGACAATGGGATAAACTATTGGACTGGAGCATGGTTCCACTATATGTATACATATATATATATATAGATACATACCGTAGATGGACGAAATATTCAAACCCCTTCTATCCGGTACAACCCCCTCGCCCCAAAGTTCAATGTTAATGTAACCTGAAGTGCATTAGCCCCAATGGACGGAAAAAATAAAACCCCTAACATCACTTTTGGTAACACGGGCGCTGAAAGATTGAGATTTGGGGGTGCGGGGGCTCAACATAGTGCGTGTTGCAGGTTTTGAATATTTTGTCCATCTACTGTATCAAGCTATTTTCCAACCATGCACCCATATAATATTTATATATATATATATAGGTGGATGTTGCTAAAATAATATATGGATGTTTCAACTTACACCACACACGATAATATATGGATATCTCTTAGAATGTCCTATCTAAATGTCGACTTTAACCTAGATCATAACTTGAGCCCCACCATTGTGAGAAATCCATAATATGTATATATGTATATACACATGTATCTGGGAAAATTATAACGACCTCACTGCGACCTCACTGGAATCATGGTTAATACGGGAAATCATCCCCAAATGGCCTTAATTCAGCTTAGTGAAATATTATAAGTTACCCAGATGTATATCGAATCGTCTGCATTTTACTGCCACAAGAATTAGGAACTGCATACAAAATGAGGTCTCCCAGTTATTTTTCTTGGTTCACGAACCCCATGAATACAATAGTTACATATACCACAAATCATAGAAATCAGCAAGTTACAAACCATAGCTATCATAAATCAGTTTTTTTAAATCCCATTAGTGAAATCATCATTTTGGGGTGAAATCATCATGTTCCGTCATGGTTTCTCGATGTAATGGTCCAGCATATGTTCCCATGGATGTTCCTATGATTTCCTATGGTGTTTCTATGATTTTCCTTTGGTTTTCCTATGGAAAATCACCATTTTCCCATGGTTTCAATACGGCTTCAACCGCTTCAACGCGGCCGGTCCCCCTAGGCCACAAGCCAATCTTATGTGGCCCATGAAGGTGCACTCACTGAAGATGCTCGGATGTCCGGTGTTGCTCAGATTGCTGAGTGAATCTTTGTAAACTATAATCATGATAAGAACATAGATGCTACAATCATAACCTGGTTGGTGCTTTGGAACATGTTTTGTTTTGCCATATATTGGGAATAATAGTCCCAACTGACAAATATATTTTTTTTCAGAGGGGTTGAAACCACCAACCAGTAACATATGATAAGTAAACTGTAGTTATAACATATAGCCACACCAAGGTAGTTACAAGTAAACTAGCACCAGCAACTACAATCATAAGATAACGACCACAGATTATCATGGTTTATAGTTGATAAAACAATGTTCGTAGATCTTTAGTAATTATGTTTATACCATTTCCTTATACTATATTCACGTGTTAAACAGTAGCTATAATCACAAATATTACCCAAGCTATTGTAAAGATGAAGCTTCATCGTAGCTATAATCATAGATAATCATGATTATAAGTGATGTTGCCAAGGATCATAGTAAGGAAAATGATGTTGTAAACGATAACTTGTATAGTCATAATCATCGCATGCCCAAGTACATGCCCAACCGACGTGATGGGTAGTTGCTGACGCCGTGCCGGGTGGCCTGTGCGTTTTAGCTAATTTATGCGTTTTGTGTGTGTGTATATATATATGTATATACATATATATATATTTATATGGTACAGGCCTGCAACCCCCCCCCCTCCCCCCCGCGATGGGGATGGTTCCTAGGATTGGGTGTACTACCTCCCTCGAATCCAACTATCATGCAAGGTACCTCTGCTTGCCCCCCCCCTGTGGGGTGGGTTGGTTGTATGTATGTAATGTAATGTAATGTAACGTAACGTAACGTAACGTAACGTAACGTAACGTAATGTAAGTATGTATGTATGTATGTAATGTATGTATGTATGTATGTATGTATGTATGTATGTATGTATGTATGTATGTATGTATGTATGTATGTATGTATGTATGTATGTATGTATGTATGTATGTATGTATGTTGTATGTATGTTGTATGTATGTATGTATGTATGTATGTATGTATGTATGTATGTATGTATGTATGTATGTATGTATGTATGTATGTATGTATGTATGTCTCTGTGTGTGTATGTATGTATGTGTGTAATGTAAGGTAATGTGATGTAATGTAATGTTATGTAATGTTGTGTAATGTTATGTATGTATGTATGTATGTATGTATGTATGTATGTATGGAGATGGTTCCTGCGGGGGATACCATTGGGGGGGGTTGCCGGCCGCCGGCCGGGACCATATATATATGTGTGGGGTGGGGTTGGGTGGGGTGGGATATTAACGTCCTGACGACTACGTCCTTGATACTACGGTGTCAACACATGTTCCACCAACTAGGAAGACGTTGATGATGCAACGTGATGCTACGTTGACAGCAAGGTGGGGTGGGGTGGGATATTAACGTCCTGACGACTACGTCCTTGATACTACGGTGTCAGCACATGTTCCACCAACTAGGAAGACGTTGATGATGCAACGTGATGCTACGTTGACAGCACGGTGGGGTGGGGTGGGGTGGGGTGGCGTGGGGTGGGATATTAACGTCCTGACGACTGCGTCCTTGATACTGCGGAGTCAACACATGTTGATAACATGTTGAAGTATCTTCATAGTACGGTGATAACATGTTGATGTATCTTCATAGTGCTTTGATAACATGTTAGCATAGTGTAGTTTAATCCGTGTGGCCCTTTTTTTCCTTTAAAATGAAAATAACCAGCCAACCATCAAAAGATGACAATTGTTTGTAGACTACCAAAGATTGACCATAGGGCATAAGTATAGTTATTGGATTATAAGACCATTTAACATCATTAAACTAGGTGTTCATTGGCCGGAACCACTGTGCCGAGCAAGAAGATGATGAGAATTCCTGGTTTTGTTCCCATCTGGGTGTGTCTGAAAATGAGGTATATGTCCCAAGTTATGAGAATTAAAATTGTGAAGATGATGTTCAACCAGCAGATTTATCAAGGCTACCCTATTTTCAGGCAAATCCCATCGAAATACGTTGTGTTCATCCAAATGTGGTGCTTGAGCTAGGTTTTTTCCCATTCAGCAGCTTCTGGGATATGAATGGTTCCAGTGCAAACATCACCCATATCACGTATTTCCGGTGATGGTATCCTTAGGTAACTGAAATCATGCGGCCCCTTTTTCCCCGTCCCATGCCGCTGGGCTTTCTGATGGGGCTCTGGAAAAGATATCTGACAATTGACCATAGCGGACATATTTGAAACACCCTTTGGTGGCAACATGTTCTTGCAGGAGACCATTTGAAATAGCATTTGAAAAGTCTCATATTGTTGACTCTATATATGCCACTATATATCATGATATTCTTCTCAATGATATCGCCACAGTATCCCCATTAAATATGCAGAAAATCCCGGAACTGTTTTTTTTAAATGTTTGAAACATACAGAAACATGATGTATCAGTGTTTATCCACAGTATATCCATAAGGATCCACGGATTTTTTCTTCGGACCGTGACGGGCCTCGGTCAGCTGCGTTGAGGAGCAGCTGGTGCATGTTCTCAACAAGGGGCATCCTGCGACTTGGGTAAACAATGGCGAAGAAAATTACACGTTTTGCCAACTTCTTCTTGGGGGATATACTTGTGGAATATAGAAAAATATGGAACATATATGGTATACATAAATGGGATGGATTGTGAAATAAGAATATGGAATATGCAGTGATATAAGAATTATGGATTATAGAAAAACATATCTGGGCAAATTATAACGACCTCACTGTTCTCCCTCACTGGAATCGTGGTTAGTAAGGGTAACTAACCCAAAATAGCCTTAATTCAGGTTTGTGAATTATTGTAATTTACCCAGACATATGGTACACATTAAATGCTCAACTAGCCAAAGATGTTATAATGGGATAAATATGAATGGTGATAGTTCATTGGGTTGATGAAGTTTTGCTGCTTCAATTGCCAGTTGGGGATTTAATATGGGGATATTAACAATGATGAAATATCATTGGGGAATATAAGTATAGATGTCCATCACTGGGGTTAATATACCTACAACCATCTACAACTGGTTGGTGGTTTGGAACATGAATTTTTATTTTTCCATATATTGGGAATGTCATAATCCCAACTGACTCATATTTTTGAGAGGGGTAGGTATACCACCAACCAGAGTATATTCGGAAACACGGTCATATCGCTGCAGACACCACATGTTCGGGATGTATCGTGGGCGTACAACCAGCCCCTAAAAAAGATACGTCCCGTCCAAAAATAAGGGTTTCTTTTTTGGGCTATTAGCATTATTAGCAATCACTAACAAGAGCTTCACCTTGGCAAAATTGAATCTGGAACATGACACTCTCGTTTGGATACAACCAACACGACCACGGTGTAGATCGGAACATCGCCAGGAGATTTGACCGATTGACGTGGGATTTTTTGACCGACAATTCCCATCATCTTTTCGATCATCCCATAGACCCTGGATGGCAACCAACTGGATAGCAAGGGTTAGGGTTGAGTAAGAAAAATTGGTATGACAAGGCCATCATCCCCACTGGATGGGAAGAACGTAAGGAAATAATCCTTTAGGTATTTTCTTGCTATAAATGGAAAATAGCCATAAAACCGGCAAAAGATGACATGAAGATTTTGTGGACTACCCAAGATTGACCATGTGATGATTCATAAATCCAAGAATAATTGCACCATGCCCAATATCACCATTGGTGGTCAATCTCATCCCCAAATGGGACGGGAATACCACCATTGGGTGAATGAATCTCACATGTCACATGCGACTTACCACATGATTTGGATGGTGGGAATTCCAACATGTTACATGGGAGTTTCCAACAAGTCAGGTGCATCCCCAAAGCAACATGGTTCTTAACCTAGACTAAGTCATGGTCATCCATTGTCCTTGGATGAAAAAATTCTCTGCACATGACTTCGGAAACCTCAATTTGGGGATGTTGATGAAGATGTTTTGTTTCAATGTAATTTTCATCAATACCCTCTGTTAATTTAACATAGCTATTGAAAGTGGCCCATGTATAGTTGATTTACCTTCAAAAGATGGTGATTTTCCGATGTTCCACAGTTTTTTGTATGTTTACCAGAGGGTAATCCCAATGGATGGTCCCAAACCTCTGTCCCTCGTGCATTCCACTTCCTCGTCGATCTTGATGGTGACCGAAGCTAAGGTGCCCTATGCCGTGTTGTGGGTCGACAAAGATTCGGGCATGTACATGGGTGCGCGGGGGCCAGCGATGAAGACTTCACCGGAAGTTTTTGGTTACCCTGTGGATATTCAACGTAGCTATGGGAAATCACCTTTTTTAATAGGTAAATCATCACAAATCATGTGGAAATGAGCCATTTTCCATGGCTATGTTAAATAACCAGAGGGTATATGGTGAAACACACATTGGTTCATGATGGATGGTAAATACTGGACGGTAAGCCCAATGAAGAGTGAAATCTATGGTTAATAATGCTTAATAAGGATTAATAATGGCTGATAATGTTAATCATGGTGGCAGAAAACCAACCATACTGGATGAATAGTACATCATCAGAATACCTAAAATGGTAATTTAAGGATTTGCGAACTGGAAAAGTCATCATTTTTCAGAACGGTAAATCATCATAAATCATGGAACTCAATGTGTCGAATCACCAGAGGGGATATTTCCAAGAAACCATGGGAATGATGAATACCCTCTGGTAAACTAACATAGCTATTGAAAATTGCCATTTATAGTTGATTACCCCTAAAGAAATGGTGGTTTTCCAATTCGTTATGTGACAGTTTACCACAGCGGTTTCCCATATTCAGGAGTCATTTTTTCGTATCTCAATATGACTGCCGTAGTAGGCAATGAGCCAGCTTTCCGGCGAGCAACAAGGGGCGGGAAAGTGACTTCGAAAGTGGTTTTATGTGGTTTTGTAACCGCTCTGTGTGCGTCCATTTTTCATGCAATTTCTATTCCGGATCGGGACAGGAAATCTTGCTTATAATAAGCCGCGGTGAGAACAGTTCAATCATGGTGGCCGAAGAATCCATGCTGTTTGTCTCTGCACTGTGGTCGCGTCATGACCCCGTGAATCGAACTAGAACCATTCAATAACCGGTTGGTGGTTTGGAACATGTTTTATGACTTTCCATATGTTGGGAATGTCATGATCCCAATTGACGAAATCATATTTTTCAGAGGGGTAGGTCAACCACCAACCTGGTCACTATTATGATTAATCACTATTGACCACCACTAACCACTATTAATCCCACTATTATATCATGTTTCAAGATGGTTATGGAAACTAATAATGATTGATATTGGTTATGTTAGTTTACCATCATCATCATCATCATCATCATCATCATCATCATCATTTCACCACAAAGAACTAAAGAAGTGAACAATCCATCCCCAATTTCGGAGCCTGTACCGTGGCCTTTGGGGTGCACGCCAGCGTTCCAGTTACAAGTGAATATGGATGGTTTGTAATGGAAAATACTATTAAAATACGTTCAAAATAGATGATTTAGGGGTACCCCCATTTTAGGAAACTTCTATAAATATATATATATATATAATATATATCCATGTTATACCCCAGTTGCATATGGGACATCGCCAGTTTTACCTTTCCAGGAGGCCATATCATGATTCTGGGCGGCTGCACTGGAGATGGCAGGTACTACTTGCATGCATCCTGGCGGGTCTTTGGGTGCGTGGTTTGGGGAGGATTTTTTAGGATTTCTCGAAAAGGTCTGTGTGAAAATGTGGCTATACCCACAAATAGCCATCACTAATACTACGTGGGGAAAATCATGAACCAATGTTTTTAGGGTGTACCCTATGTTCAGACAAACCCAGCCCGGAGGAGGAAAAAACCTCTGGGTGTGCCCAAAACATCAACCTGGGTCGGTGGATCCGACTTTGATAACCCACTTGTGACACGTGAAGTATGGATAGACTGGGAAGCCATAGCGTCACAGAAAGCCGAATGGCCTTATTGGATTTCTTTTTTCCTTCACATTTGAAGGGACAGAGAATACTCCTCACAAAAGATGCTGGAATCTCCCATCCTGGGTAAAGCTTGAGGTAAATCGCTTCTCTTTTTCCTACAAATAGAGGAATACTTCGTACCGAGCAAGAAAACAAAACACTTGTGTTTGTGTCTTCCAGAATTTCCACTAGCAATTGGCAATTGGAAGTTCCCTATTCGTTTATAGACGATTTTCCTATTAAAATGATGTATTCCACATGTTTTCTTTCCCTAGTTGGTGGTTTGTTTTCGGCAATGGAAATGAGATCATGATCCCCATTGACAGTCGCGCATTTTTTGGGTTGAAAGCACCAGTCAGTAAAACTGTAAATGCACTTGTGATCATGCATTCCAAAGTATAGTTCTTAAATGTTAATCAACTAAACTATAGTTCTTACAGTAATTGGAAAATTCCCCTTCTATTCTCATGATGGTCTTCCCAAGGTTTTTCCACGGTTTTCCCGGCTCCTCCAAAAGCTCAGCTTCCCTGGCTGAGGACAGCCTCTCCAACCTCACACGCACTAAGACCTGGCAGGCCTTGACGCATGCAGAGTTGATGGAATACAGCCCATGGGCCATGGTCGGCTGCTGGACGGGAATGGGGCCGGCCATGGGGCCGGCCATGGGTTGGCATGGTGAAGGGGAAGATTTTTTTTGGATCACCAAGTAGCGTCGTTCATATCATCACTGGATGGGTAGGAAATAACCTTTTGGTGTTTTTGCTGTAAATGGAAAATAGCCATCCAAGCAGCAAAAGATAATTTTGATCCAAAGATTGACCATGATTGACCGTGATACGAATGCAGAAAATCATGGGCTCAATATTAATGGAATGATTTTGGGATACTGATTGGGATCAGTTGATTGAGATATACCCTCCGGTGTCATCAAACATGGCAAGCTGGGGAACCCCTGAAGTGTCCATGGAGGTTTAACGTGGGAAAATCAGAAAATCATCGAAGGAAATGGGGCTTTGACCCTGATTTAACCGGTAATACCAGAAATTGATCCAGAAAGACTATGTTGCTGATGATGATGAGGAGGAGGAGGAAGGTGAGGATGAGGATGAGGATGAGGATGAGGATGATGATGATGATGATGATGATGATGGTGATGGTGATGGTGATGGTGATGGTGATGATGATGGTGATGATGGTGATGATGATGATGGTGCTGATGCTGATGAGGATGAGGATGAGGATGAGGATGGGGATGAGGAGGATGGTGATGGTGATGGTGA